GAAACGTTGTACATTTGCTGTCATGTTAAAGTTATATTAAAGTTTTTCTTCATTACCCATTTAAGCCGTCTCCAGCCATTATATAATATTCATGTTAGGTAAAGTATTGTCATTTTAGTTACAAAATAAAACATTCATTGTTAGGTAAATTATTAGCCTCTTATTAACAAAATATAGCATTCACATATAGGTAATGTATTGTTCTTGTATTAGATAATTATGACATTTATTGTTAGGTAAAGTTCTAACCTCTTTGTGACAAAATATAATATTCTTTGTTAAATAAAGTATTGCAATCTTATTGAGAAAATGTACCAGTCATTTTACTTCTGCATTAGTATGACATTCACATTATTAAAAGATTACCAAAGACTGTATGTCTGTATTTATATGCTTATAAAATATATTCCGACAAGGTACCTTACTTCCACTCACATACATAACTATTCTTGTTCAGTGCTGCCCTCTATTTGCAAAGAAATTTTCACATGCCCCAAGCCTTTCACTCCGACGCACCCCTAGATTCACATGGTTTAACTGATTTTTGCGACAAACTTCCACCAATATTAGTACACACACCCACCTGACTCCCTCTGTACTGCCCCAGTGGCACAGCGGTATGTCTTCGGATTTACAACGCTAGAAACCGGGTTTCGATACTCGTGATGGGCAGAGTACAGATAGCCCATTGTGTAGCTTTGTGCTTAATTAGAAACAAACAAACAAATAAACCCATAACATAATATTATAGTTGCACTATGTGTTAAGTGAAGTTTTATTAACCCGATCAGTTGATGAATTATTACGTAAGTTAAGAAGCTTAGCCCTTTGTGTAGTTTTGTGCTTAACTACAAAAAAACAACCCTCTGTACTGTTTTCCCTAACTATCACTTCTCGTTTGACAGTGCTTGTGTTCAGACATTGGGTTTGTGATCTCAAGTGTGTTTGTTTTTCCTGTGTCTTCGTATGAGTTTCTCTCACCAAGTTTACTATTTATTTTTACAATAATGATATTTGTAACTTATTCCGAAGTGGAATTATTTTATATTTTTACCCAGTTACGAAACTTCATACTTCATTACAAATAATTTTGAATATGAATTCCGAATTCTAAGTTACCACTTCAGAGGTTATACTTTCGATCAGCACATTTACACAGGCTTCAGGTGGCTGTCCTCGTCTAGGGAATTATCGGCTTTACTTCGTCGGGAGATTGATCGTCCAATGAGCTGACCTTTGTCGGGCCTTGACGCGAATTTGGGGGCCCACATATTTTGAAATACGGTCTACCGACCTTAGATAAGGCATTATACTGTTATGGTTTTTGAATATTTGTACTGTTAATACTATTATCTGTATTTATTTGGGTTCAACAACATCAGTGTAGTTACATTGGTCAATACTCATAGTTACGTTCAGGTTTGAAATTAGAGCTTAATTATATTCTTAAGTATCTGCTTGTTTGTTAATTTCCGGTAGAAATTCTTTCCGAGGAACTTCAGCGATACAAGTCTTTTCTTGATTAAACTAGTTTATTCTATCTCGATACAAACTTTTAATACACAGTAATTCCACAGTCAATACTTTTCTCGTTACTTTAAACTTAACT